TTCCCCTTGTGCTAAAATCATACATTTATTCATGGTAGTTCCAAGTTTACATGGAAGTTCTAAAAATAGCGACAAAGAAGCTCCTCTTAGATATGAGTTGTCAGTTAGATTTTTTCCAATGTAACTCGTGACAGCAATAAGCACATTTTACTCCTAAACGCTGATGCTTGTTGTGTTGTTAGTGGCCCTTGAATAGGTTTCAATTCATAGCAACCCTGTGTACGACAGAACAAAATGCTGAGCATATACTTCCTTTTTGATTTTCTAATGCCAGGTCTTTGCACATTTCGTTCTAATACGTGACTTTGTCTTACTGAGCTGTCCTTTGAATTTTTCTGTTTCGCTCTGTGGTGCAGTCAATTATTTAATGTCTCTTCTAGCCATAGTCTTTGTAACTCCCACCAAACAACTAGTTCCTGATGGGTCTGGGTTAATAGGAGAGAGAAGATGATGATAGAATTACATAATTTAGTTGTGAGTAATTGCTTAACAGGGTTAATTGTGAAAACTTGTAACTCTAATGTAGATATAAAATATGCCTTCGCAGAAGTCGTAAGGGACAACCTCACTCCTGTCAAAGAAGAGCCAGGAGTGGAATGCTTCCTTTGGACCCAGAGATCCCTACATGTTGAACCTAATCAGCCCAGGGACAGAAAGCTGTAACACTGGAGGAGTGACAGAGAAACAGTGGAGCCAAGTGCCAGAGCACAAGACAGACTGTTGGGCATCACAGCCCACAGAGCAAGTAAAACTTAGTGACTTTTGGCAGAAAGCTTGTTTGCAGAATGGGGTGCTTCCAGGCACTTAATTGGGGGAGCTAGGCTTTCTGACCTACTCACAGTCCTTGAGCCTGGTTGGTGAGGCTTATAGTGGAGTGGTGTGTCCTGTTTATCAGCGGCACTAAAAGAGCTTTGTAACATTGGCGGAACAAAGCAAAGTCTGCCTGGGGGAATGACTGAGGAGAGGTTTCCTGACTGGAATGTGTCCTGAGCATTTCTGATCCAGAATTGTAAGCTGTTCACTTCACTAATAACCCCAATAACTATGAGTGTAGTGTCTGAGGTCTGTTTGGTCAATGCAATGAATGATCAAATCCAGCTGAGTAGAAAGTGTTGTGGAAGAAATGGTTAGTGTCATTTTTTTTTAAGCGCTTTTAGTTCATCATTTCTTCCTTTATTTTTAGCTATTTTATGTTCAAGAACAAGTTCTCTTCCAACATTCATTCTAGCCTTTTCTTTACTTCCTGTGTCTTATATCACCCATTTGTTTTCTCTCTGATGGCCATGATATTATCCCACAACTTGTCTGGTCTCTGGCCATCAGTGTTCAATGTGTCAAATTCTTGAGATGGTCTCTAAATGTAGGTGGGGTATGCTCTAGTTTGTACTTTGTCTCTTGTGAATTTGTTTTAATTTTATTCAGCTTTGATTTGAACAGACATATTGTTGATCTGTTCTACAGTCAGTCCCTGACCATGTTCTCACTGATGATTTTGAGATTTTTCATTATATCTTTCCACAGATGTAGTTAGTTTGATTCCTATGTATTCCATCTGACAAAGGTCCATGTGTATAGTCACATTTATAGGAAAAAAGTATTTGCATTGAATAGATCGTTGGTATTGCAAAATTCTGTCTTGCGATTTCTGATGCCATTTCCATCATTAAGGCTGTATTTGCTAACAACTGATCCTTCTTTCCTGTTTTTGCATTTTTAATCACCAGTAGTTATCAGTGTATCTTGACTGCATTTTTTATCAGTTTCGGACTGAAGTTGGTAAAATTTTCATCATCTTTGGCTTTAGTGATTGCTGTGTAAATCTGAGTAATCATCATATTAAGTGGTCTTCCTTGTAGGCTTATGGATATTATCCTCTCTCTGACAGCATTGTACTTCAGGATAGCTCTTGAAATGTTCTTTCGATGATGAATGTGATGCCATTACTCCTCAAAATGTCTTTCTTGGCATAGTTGATCATATTATTGTCTGATATAAAATGATCATTCCATCCTCATTATTAAGAAGTCCTGATGAGGTGCTATAAGATAAGTACTGGACTGCTAACCACAAGGTGAGTGGTTCAAACCCACCAACCACTCCTCAGAAACCCTATACATAGTCTCTATGAGTCAGGACTAATTCAACAGTACTTCACCACAACTACTTTGAAGAGGCAGCTCTTCCCCAGTCATAGTTTGAGTAGCTACCAACCTTAGGGACTCATCTTATGGCACTGTATCAGACAGTGTTCCACTGTTGTTCATAACGTTTTCAATGGGCAGTTTTATCCCACGTAAGCTGCTGTGCCTTCTTCCTAGTCTGTCTTAGTCGGGAAGCTCCAGTGAAACTTGCTTGTATTTGCAATACTGTCGGCATAGGTTCTAGCATCATAGCAACATACAAACCATCACAGTACAACAAACTGACAAATGCTTAGCATCCTGAATTAGTCTCACCCCTATTAATGTTTTATTCCATTAAACTGCGTGAATGTCCTATTAAATTTAAAGGAACAAACATCATTATTTAAGTCTTACTTCACAGGAGTTCCTAATAATTATTTTAAAACTACAGGGAAAATAAAGATGTTTTCATTTTCTTAACACTATTAACTATTTGAGAGGCGTTTAAAAAAAAAAAAAAATTTAGAGAAGAAATGAAAATAGAATGACCTTGAAGATCTTTTTCAAAAAACAACACACATATACTTTATCTGCCCATACTTTCATCACACTTTAAATTGTACATATACGTCAGTGACTGAAAGCAGAAAGCTGTTTACTTATGCCTTCCTGAGTATAATCAACTATAGATAACATTGCAATGAATGAGTATTCTAGAACACTTAATTGTGCTCATGAAGAACCTGTACATAGACCAAGAGGCAGTTGTTAGAACAGAATAAGGGGCTACTGAATGGTTTAAAATCAGGAAAGGTATGCATCAGGGTTGTATTCTTTCACCGTACTTACTTGGTCTGTATGCTGAGCAAATACTCCAAGAAACTGGATTATAATTAGAACAACATGCCATCAGGATTGCAGGAAGACTCAATATCAATCTGAGATATACACATGACACAACCTTGCTTGCTGAACATGAAGAAGACTTACAATTCATACTGATGAAGATAAAGACTACAGCCTTCAGTGTGGATTGTACCTCAGTGTAAAGAAAACAAATCCTCACAACTGGATGAATAAATAACATCATGATAGATGGAGAAAA